CCTCCCAACCTTGGACGACAATTCCTTCCCCAAATCCTGAATTATGCAAAAGCCTACAGGAGTTGTGACCAGTTCCCTTCTGCCAGATGGAAGGAAAATTGAACATGTCTCAACAGATGGATTCAAGCCCTGATGGCAGAACATGGGATCCAGCACAAAAATAAGTCTGGTCTGGATGTTTGTTGACATGTTAGGAAGCATCTTTCATAGTTTTTCTACCACATGGAAATCCCATTCCTTCCTGTCAATCCAGGAAGAAAAAAAGCTGGAAAAACCAACTTGGAAGACCAGGTGGATCCTAGCCCTAACCCCAGCCTCACATCAGGTCTGTCCAAAGCTTAACCTTGTAGACTTGCCTCAGCCTGCTTTGACCAAACCCAGATAACTGGCATGTTTGCTTTGGAGTGGTGTGGGCTTTGCTCAAGTGTCCTGTCCAGCAGGAAGCCAGAGGAGTTGTAATGACAGGGACTATTTTCCCTGGAGGGATTGAAGAGTCGTGTAGACATAGTGCTGAGGGACATGGGTTAGTCGGGGACTTGTCAGTGTTGGGTTCGTGATTGGACTCGATGATCTTAAAGGGCTTTTCCAATCCAGGCAATTCTGTGTGATTCTGTGATTGCGGCTTTTCCTGAAAGCACAAAGCGATCAAGTCCTGGAGAAAGAAATGGATGATGTGGTCCCTCGTCTGGTGAAATCGCCCTGTTACACACGCTTGTCACTGTAGCTTTTATCTAGGACTTAACACATTAACCCTGCAAATGTCAGCAGCAATAACAATTGGAGAGACCTCGAGGGGAGGTGGAGGGCTAGAGATTAGGAATATTACTGCAAAGGGCTGGGTTTGTCCTAGAGACACATCCCTGCTCCTTCTGAAATGAGAGCAGCTTATGCAGGAGCTGGCTTTAGCTTTGAATCTTGCCCATGAGCACAACCAGGGCATGCACAGGGCTAAAGTCACCCCTGGCTCTGTGTTTAGAAAGAGGATGGAAAAGGAAACAGGATTTTTTTCATAGATTTAGTGTGGGTGGGTACAAGAAGAAGAGTCATCGTGACCTTCATCCCTCTGGGAGGCCTGAATCAACATAAGGTTTGATTTTCTGTTTAGCTTTTGTCTCCCCTCACCTATGCCGTGCCCCTGCTCGCACTTGTACTCCACAAAATTCATCTCCGGGGGTGGTGGGCAGGTGCCCCGTAAGTTCTCGCACAGTTTGAACTCCTCTGTCCATACACCCTCCTTGGTGCAGATGATGGGAACCTGCAAAGCAGAAGGAGAGCAGCCAGCGTTACTACCAGCAGCAGCAAGGCTCATCTTGCCTGGCCACTGCCCAGCTCCTGGGGAGCAAAATGCAAGGACTCCCCTCCTGCCAGTGAACCCCAGAGTGAAGCTCTCCATCCAGGTCAGCTGGGTTGCAGTCATCTGGTCCAGCTTACATCTGCTTTGCTCTACTGCCCAGACAGCAAATTGTTTTCCAGCTGCCACTGGATCCCACCAGAGGAAGATCAACTGCACTTCTTTTGATAAGACCCTTCCAGCAGGCCAGATGTGAAACCTGGGTGGAAGAACCTGACAAGCAAGCTCCTTGGTTAGCAAGCCTTCTGCAGCAAGGTCGCCCAGTATCCCAAGTGAATGCATTCACAGCAGCTCCCCAAACCCACTGGAAAACCTCTACTTTTACTTCCTGACTTTTCTCACTCAAGACAAGCAAGGCTTGCTTAGGACTATTGCTTTTTGGAAGGGTCACCAAGGAACAGAAGAACATCCCCAAGGAGAACAAGCTCCTTGGTTAGCAAGCCTGCTGCAGCAAGGTCACCTAGCATCCCAGGTGAATTCATTCACAGCAGCTCCCAAAACCCACTGGAAACCCTCTGCTTCTTCTTTCTGACCCTTTTCACTCGAGACAAGCAGGTTCGCTTAGGACCACCCCTTTTTGGAAGGACCACCAAGGACCAGGAGAGCATCCCCAGGAGTGGTGCACCCTGCACTGGAGCTGGTATCCAGCAAGAAGAGCTCTGGGTTTGTAGGGCAACTACTCTTTGGTGGTACCAGGGCATTTGGCCCTGGAGATGGCTGAGCTGCCGCAGAGTCCTTTGATCTCTGCTGTTCTCAGGTGCTCTGAAGGACAATGCTTGGCTGATCTCTGCTTCCCCCTGCAAGTCACTCACCTGTTGTCCCTGTGGCTCGCAGTTGAGGACACACTGGCTGTCCAGCTCGAAGCCCCGGGTGCAGTTGTACATGCCCTCGAAGACGGGAGGAGGGGGCTCGCACACCACGGGGACACAGTGTCCCTCTTCCCACTGCCCACTCTCCAGGCACTGGAGCTTCAGGAACTTCCTGGGGGAACACAGATGCCAGGCTGGGCTGCAGCCCCCACCTTAACCGTACTGAGCATCCCACAGAGGCAGGAGCAGCTTGGAGACATCTCTTCTGGAGCGCAACCAAGCCTCACCTTTGAGTTTTTTCCATGCCATCACACCCCTCACCGTGGGCAGGTCCTCCTGAAAGAACAGCCCACGCTCAACCAGGACCTTTCCTCCCCTCACTGTGGGGAAATCATGATGATTTAGGAGCACTGGACACTTTTCTCTTGCACTCACCACCCCATTGCTCCCCACCTCTCATGGTGCCCCTAAACCATTCCTCTCTGGGCTGCTTTGTCCCACCACCAGTAGCTACATATTTTGCTAGATGGAGTGAGGTTCCACCAGTAAATCCTGCTGGCCAGTGCCCAGCCACTCCTGAGGCTCCTCTTTGTACTCCAGCCAGATCTGTCACTCCTGCTTTCACCGAGGGGCTGTGGTACCTCAGCAGATCGATACCATCCTCTGCTGCTCAAACAGCCCAGGTGCTAACATCTTGCCAAAAAAACAAGGAGAAAGAAAGGAAGAAAAGGTCCAGGAGCAGAGCCCACCTGCTTTTCAGTCTCCTGTCCTTGGCAGCGGTAGGGACACTGCATCTTTGGCATAAAGGCATCAAAACTCCATGAGGCAAGGGGCTAGGTGGGGACTGCTCTCCCAGAAGAGGACGCATCACCATGACCCCAGACTTGAACACACAGTTTTTGGCAGCACTGATGGGCTTTACCTGAGCCACGGCTGATTGCTCTGTCCTTAATAAGACTTTTTTCCCCCCTGCTTCCATCCTTCTTCACCAGGCAGCCTGCTCCAGCAGCTTGCCCCTGCCCTCTTCCACCCCTGGAGCCAGCAGACAGCGCTCAACTCCCGAGGTGGAGAGGACACACTGTGGGAGCTGCAGTTTGCACAGGTGCACACAGTGGTTTGCAGCCCCATCATCTTCACTGGGGCTTCTTGTCTTGATGTGGTGCTGGAGTGGCCCCAGTGTGGGGCCAGCACCATGCGTGGTCTCTCCCACTTCTCCCCAGACCTGCACCCACTTAGACCTGGGGTGAGAAGCTGCCTTGCTCTGGAGGCTCAGCCCACTGCCAGCTTCCCTGATGGGAACTTCAAACGGAGCTGGCCTGACCTGACCCCAGGGTAGAAGGTGGTGTGTAGACCACTGCTGCACGTATGAAGTGAGTGGTTTATATTAAGGCACAGAGAAGGGGAGGGAGAGATTAAAAAAAAACCCCAAAACATATATATAAAACACAACCTCATAGCAGCTTGAAATTTCCAGACCCCTTCACTTCTTCTGATCTGGGTTAGCGGCATTTCTCAAGGATTAACGAGGAAGCCAGGAAAATCAGAGTCAAAACTTCCCCCTCCAAGCAGGCAAGCGGATGCCTAATGGGTAGAGGAGGCAGGGGAGATGTCTGAAGCCAGCGAGGGCTGTGTCTGGTGTGAAGGCACGAGTGCATGCCTGGCTCCAGGACCTGAGCACGCAGGAGCCTGGCTGGGATCCAGCCATCAACTGGGGCAGCCAGCTTGGGGGAACTGGGTCCACCATACAGGAATGGGGATAAATGAGCCTAAAGCCTCATCTCCCATGGCAGGAGACTGACTGCTTCAAAACAGAATACAGGGACAGAGGGAGATTTGCTGGTAAATTGAAAGAAAGCAACACCAGCTTGGTGGACCTCCTCTGCTGTGCTCCAAACAGCCTGGGCTGTAAATCTTCAGCAGAGACCCTTAGAGGTGGAAGTGACACAGCAGTCCAGTTGACAGCCTGTTTTCTTTACCTGGCTGCTTGGCTCCCTCAGCTGCGCCAGTGTTTGCCTTTTATCTAGAAGGGGCCAGATGTGGTCAGAAGCAGCGAGGGCCTTACGCCTTTGCACCCACCACAAATGTACAGTGGCCCAGTGCCCTGCTCAGCTCCAATGCTCCTGGGTTAGGCTGTCCTGCTTTGCCTACTGCAATCTTTCTGATGTGCTTCCAGCCCCTGATCTGCTGACTCCTTCCAATCCATTTTCTCCTCCATGTTCTCCCACCTACTCACCCTCTTTCATGGTCTCCATCAGCCCACTGTAGTCTTTGAACAAGGAGAGGAGGCTGAGGGGCTGACATCTCCACAGCAGCTTCTCAGAGGGCTGGGCTGTGCTTCCTTGATCTCTGGTCAAAATGCAGGCTGAGACTTTCAAAGTTGCCTAAAAAGACCTGTGTGCCTGGTTGTTCTTTTCTTCATTCCCTCAAGCTAGCAGAAGGGGCTCAACCCCTCACAAAAGTAGCTTTGAGATCTCAAAATCTCTTATCTCCAAGGAATCATCCCACAGTGAGCAAGTGAAACAACCCCTCTGCAGGGTCTGACCTTTTCTGTCTCCAGCCTGAGAGCACCATCTCAGCATTAGAGTGCTCCTCTAAAGGATGTCCTAGATATTCCTGTTAGAGAGCTACTTCAGGTAGCACTTTGTGGTGGAAGGAACAGCCAGGACCACTGTGGAGTTGATGTCCATTTACCCCAAAGTATCTGACCTCTGACTTTCAGGTTCTTTTCACCAAATCACAGAATGGTGGGGGTTGGAAGGGACCTCAGAAGAACATCTATTCCAACCCCCCAATACTGCAGCCCTGGATGATGCCAAACATTGTTTCCTTAGCAGTTCATAGCTATATGTGATCCAGGTGAGTGGGTTGGTGCTGCCCAAAACCAGGGAGCTCCCATCACAAAGCACAAATGCACATGTTCATTTCCCCTTGTTACCGTTATTTTGGTGTTAGATGTCAAGTAGTTTGGCAGCTGGAAACCAGACTGTTATGTGGGCTCTCCAGGCTGAAAACAGATTTCCTTTGGGAAGAATCAAAGAAGATTTATCCTTCAGAGATGTCAGCATCGTCATTTGGGTGATGCTGCCAACAGAAAGGCAGCAAATCTCTGGCAGGATCTCGATTACACAATCAACATTTCCTTGAGCATCCCTTGTTGACAAGCACTGATTTTTGAAGGGCCTTTCCTCACCCAGGCTGATAGATAAAAAGTATCTTCTGGGAGACAACAAATTTCTTCATCCCCCTTCTCTTCCACTTACGCTACATACGGGAAATGAATTCCAACTGAGATTGCAGGAGCCTTCTAAGCATTTTTACTGCCCATGCAGTAAAATTAAACTAATGAAGCAGAAGTGAAAGAAACAAACGAGCATCTGTGTTCAAGAGCATCTCAGCTTGGGCTGAGAGAGCTGAATCCCAGATGCGGTTCAGGTCTACATAAGGTGGGCACTACCACATTAGGGGCAAAGCCCCAGGGGTTGGATCCCCAATCCAGCTGTAGTAGCCGTGGTGTTTTATGAGGTGCACGAGAGAAAAAGACACTGAAAAAAGCTGATCAAAAAAGCAGATAGTCAGGAGGTGATGGTGAGCCCTGGTCTGGATTGAGTTCCTGCTCACTCACATTACAGCTTAACTGTCTCTGTGGGGTCCAGAGCCCATCCCTGAATGAAGGTGTCTGGAATCAGCCCTTGAAGGAAATCACCAAGCTTCTTAAACAGTGCTGCGAGAAGATGAGCATGTCTTTTGTGTAGCAGCAGAACAAGCTGATCCCTTGGGAAGCCATGAACACCCAAAGATGCCTCTACACCTTCCCTGGAGAACAGTCTGAGCCCCATCCCATAGCTGTTGGTGTGGTCAGCTGGGGGTTACACTCCCTCCATCATTGCTCTCTGAAAAAGCACAATCACTAGAGCTAGAAGAATAATTCAAAGGGAGCCTGACTATATTTCCAAGGTTGGGTTAGTTAGCTGGCATGGGGAGTCTTCAGTGTCAGCCATGGATCACGCCTGACTTTTCTCCAATGATTAGTACACATGGAGACTCTTGCTTTCTTCTGCCCATCAACACCTGTTATGGCACTAAATCCTTCAACTGGTGCTTGCTGGGTTGATAGACAACAAGGATGCAACAGGTCAAGAACTAGGTTTGCTGAACCCAAAAAGAACCCAGAAAGACTTCTGAAGACCCCAAAACCTAATGTTCAAGTCATCAGCTGAGACCCTGCTCCCTCACCTGCACATCAGGAACCCACATCCCACCAATGCCAGCCCCTTCCAGAGCTCTCCATCACATTCTCCAACAGCTCACTTTCTCCAAAACTGGCCTGAACAAAGAAAGCAACCTCTCACTGGCAGCTCCCATCTGCTGCCTGACAGGGCTGAAACACCAGCAAGATTTCCAGCAATCCAACAACTGACTGGCTCACTTACCAGCTAGTAGCTGCTCCACCCTACGCATGCCAAGGGGTTTGTACTCAGGCTGGGTGCATACACAGAGCTCCAGAGGAGACCAGGCATTGGCATTTACCATTCCAAGGAAAGGCTTTTGCTGTGGATCAGGCCGCTCACCTAGCAGTTCATTTGCATGATAAGCAATGAGTTTTCTGTGTCTGTTAATAGTTTGGGTTTGGTTTTTTTTGCTTACTGTAATAGGATCGTACCCTACCATCAAAGATGTTCGATTAATTAGTAGCAATGATAACAGCAAATGTGAAAATTCTACGTCAACGTGTGTCGCTGTGAAAACGTGAACCACTTCTTGTGATTTTCCTCGATTCCTCTCCCAGGCTGTTCAGACCCGAAGGGAGGTTACACACACACACATCAGAGGAGCCTTGGGAACACGCAGAGGCCATCCCTCTTGCCAGCAGTTGCTGCAGCATGACTGAGGTGGCCTAACTTTGCAAGCTGATTGTTGATCTGATTGCATGTCCAGTGCCTGAAATGCCACAGGCACGCAAGCTGCTCCCCGGTTTGCAGAGCAGCCCATGCGATCGGAGCCATCATCGTAACTTGCTCAGCTCCTCTTGGCCCAAGAAAGGCTCCTAACACTGTGAAAAGCTGTTTACAGAAACCACTTCCTTCATTACAAGGCAAGAAATTTGGCAACTGTTTCCCAGCGCACAACCGCCCTACCCCAGAGCAAAGTAAAGATGAAGTCTGCATCCAATTAAAACTGGAAGGGGGCATTAAACAATTAGCACATAATTACCTGATTTGAGCTAGCATCAAGGCTTTGGGGAGGACCCAGCCAGCACCAGGGAATCTTTAGTGACCATACCCAATGGGGACTTCAGCTGGAGGCACGGCAGACAAAATGCTGCCTTACCCCCCAGCGTCACGATATTGGCTGAGCACAGGGCTAGTGAATCACCAGGAATTTTTCCCTGAAGCATCAGGAAAAATATTCTCCAATTGAAACACACCAGTGGTTGAGATTAAATTTAGCCAAGATGTGCAGGGGGTAAAATATTCACCCTGACAAAAGGCAGTCATTCATCCTTCCAACCCCCAGTGCCTTCATCTAGGTTTTATCACTTCTAGGAAAGACAGCAGTTCCAGGAATCTTCCAGCATCTTATTACATCTAAATACCTGAGAGTCCACAAACATTTCTCTACATGCTTAATTTTCAGCAACTGACAGGTATGTTGAGGTGCACAGGAAAATTCATGTGCTTTAGGTTAAGGCACTTAACGTACACGTGCATGCCACAGCAGCTTGTTGCTTCTTCCCACCTGCTTTCACCTAAACCAGGGGAATGCTTCTGGTTTCTCAAGAAACCTGCATGACCAGAGCAATCTTCTCTGCCTTGGACCTATCAAACCAGCTTTTTGAGCCTGCTGGTGTACCATCACCTCTCCTCCTTGCTCATGTTGGTAATCTGCTCTCCTGAGGCCCCACCTGCAGTGCTGCCTCCAGTTCTGGACCCCCAACACAAGAAAGACATGGACCTCTTAGAACAAGTCCAGAGGAGACCACGAGGATGATGTGAGGGCTGGAGCAGCTCTGCTGTGAGGACAGGCTGAAAGAGTTGGGGCTGTTCAGCCTGGAGAAGAGAAGGCTCCAGGGAGATCTTATAGCAACCTTCCAGTACCTGAAGGGGCTCCAGGAAGGCTGGGGAGGGACTTTTGACAAGGGCAGGGAGTGACAGAACAAGGGGTGATGGCTTGAAAGTGGAAGAGGGGAGATGGAGATGGGATCTGAGGAAGAAAATCTTTGCTGTGAGGGTGGTGAGACAGTGTCCCAGGTTGCCCAGAGAAGCTGTGGCTGGTCCTCCCCGGAAGTGTTCAGGGCCAGGTTGGATGAGGGTTTGAGCAACCTGGTCTAGTGGAAGGGGTCCCTGCTGATAGCAGGGGGGGTGGAACTGTATGAGCTTTAAGGTCCCTTCCAACCCAAACCATTCTATGAATCCAAGAGGCGGAAGGAAATGATGATAACAGATCCACCACACACTTACTTCTTAGGCTTGCCCGCTGCGTTCTCGGCCACGTGGTATCCAGGCTTGCACTTGTAGCGACAGACTGAGCCCACGTCATGGTTCCCCTGCAGGCACCGTGGGACCAGGAGCTTGGCATTGGCCACCGCCAGAGGAGCATCACACTCCACCTTGCAGTAGGCTTCAGGGAGTGACCAGAGACCGTCCTCCAGGCAGGTCAGCCACTGGTTTGTTCCTGACCCCAAAAGAGAAGGAATGTGTCAGGATTACCGCTGACCTGGGGATGGAATCCTGCTGAGGGGAGCTCAGAGCAACCAGCAAAAGTCCTCTTAGAGTGGACACTGATGCCAAGGGAGGCAACAAATATGAAGACCATGGACTCCATTGCATGCTTGGTCAGGCTAGGGTGGAAATTCCTTGAATGCAGGAAGGGACAACTTCCAGGGGATGGAGAAAGAATCTTGGTTCTGCAAATGTCCCCAAAAGTTTTGTTTAAACCTCCCCTCTGTGGTGATGCTTCAGGATAGTCCTCAGTGGGCTGGGGGCTTTTGTGTGTGACAGCTATCTGCCATACTTACCTCAGCTCATTTTCATACTCCCCAGGTGCTTTTTGCAGCTTGTCCTTACCTACTGTCACACCCCGAGCTACATGTGCAGCACAAGGTGGGAAGTACCAGGAGGACAAACATAGGAGCCGTTACTGGTGTGACTGGGAAATCAAACCATCCCATTACTCAAGGCTTGGGTTGAGTTTTACAGCCCAATTCTTTGTTGTCCCTCTAGAGAAAAGGGCATTTGGTAAACCTAACTAATGGGTGGCTAAAACTGCACAGCTCTGGGTGCCTGTGGTAGGTGTCCAACATCACCCACATGGTGTGGATGATGGATGGTTCAGTGGGAACTACAGAGTGAGAAAAAGAAAAATCTGGACTGGAGTGATTTTAGGGGTTTGGATCAGCAGGTTCCTGGTGTGTCATTGCTTTCTTTTATGGGATCACTGCCTACAACTGCTCTTGGACCAGCGATGACCATACCTCCACTCAGCCCCTGCGCTTCTGGCACCACGGTGCCTCCAAGCACCGTGCAGCCATGTCATGCTTTCCTTGCCTATTCTTAGCATTTATTAGCCTTGAGAGCCTGCCCATAAGGACTTGAGCCTTTGAGGAGAACAAGCATCAGACACGTCCCTGCATCGACAGCTCAGCCGTGTCGGTCTTGGCTGAGCACAGCCAGCCATTGTGTCAGCCACTGGAAGTCACCCAAGGCGTTTCACCAAAGGGACGCCTTCCCACCAAGGGAGCCCATGGCAAACCTCCCATCGACTTCTGCAGGAACAAGAGGTGGCTGTGAGTGAAAGATCAGATTAAAGCCCTGCCCTCAGCTGACCCACCCGAGCCAACGGGCATTGGTTCGTGCAGAACTTGGGCCGTTGAGTTGTCATTTGCATGCTACCCTGTGATCAGCTCATGCTGGGGGATCTGCCGGCATCACCCCATCATGAAATGAAACCTTAATTCCCTGCAGTTCTTGCTCCTTGGATTTAACTTTTTAAAAAAAGTAAATTATTTTCATACGTTTCAGCTCTAAATGTTTCCATAAAATAGGGCACCCATTAAAATGATTTGTTGTATGTGATTGTTCAGAGCAAAGACACTGGTGGAAACTCATATAAAGTCCCAATACTTGAAGCTGTCAAGGCAGTTACGCCCGAAATCCCACCCAGCTCAGCCTTACATAGACAGGAACAGTAGCTCTTTCTGCAACTTGGCTTCAAAACATTCCTGCGGCTATTGATGGAGTCGGCAGAATGAAAGCCAGGCCATGGCATGTCTGGGGGACTGCTGTGTGTCTGGGTGGTGAACATCTCCCAGACTGCTCTGAAGCTGTGGGCATCAGTCTCTACAGCTTTATACAGCCCCAAGCCTCCCGAACCACAGGCTTTCCCACAGCCACCAGGCACCGAGCCACTTCTGGCTCTCTGAAGCCCTCTCTGTCTGCACGCTTCTTGCCTCCTCGTCCCCATAATGCTGGAGGCTGCCAGACCTCACCAGCTAGCAGGAGAAGACATCCCTTCACCTTAAGATGGATGGATAAGGGTTGCCAGTCAGAGGGAGTATTCTCATGCTATGGTGTTTCCATCAAGGGGGATGGATGTCCACCATTTTGGGAGGTGTCTCATGAACCCACCTGGCTGGCAGAAGCCAGGATAACTGGGAAATTTGAAGTTGCAATGATCTGTTTGAACAGCTTGGGACAGGCAGGGAAAGGTGGCACTGAAGAGAGATTTAAATCCCTCAGCACTCCAGACCGTACCTTGAAGCTTGGCTGGGTGGATGCAGGAGAAGGAGCATCTCTTCAGGTAGATGGTCCCCTTAGGGCAGGAGAACTCTGCATAGTACACATGGGACTGGTCAGGGACACCACAGTTGACAGGGACACAAGTCACAGATCTGTCCCACCGCCCTGAGCTGCAAGTCAGCACCACCTCCTGCAGTAGAGAAAGTAAGGCTTCATCAGACCCCTGAGAGTAAGCTTTAATCTGATGGTTTGCCACCACAGCAGAAAGGGATGACCCAGGTTTCAGGATAAGGAGAGCTTTACCCCCACTTTTCATCACCCAATGTGCCCTTTCTCCCCACTCTGGACCAAGGCCATACCTGTTCATGGGGCAACGTTTGGGGTGTGAAAGCAGCAAATGGCCCTTGGGGTAACACACAGGCCACCTGCACAAAAGACCTTCTAACGCTTGGTCTGTAACCACTTGCCTCCAGAAAACTCTAGTGCCAGAGCACATTAAGGGAAGAAGGAAAATCCCTCCAAGATACACTGAACTATTCCCAGCTCTGTGTGCTGCAATCTTCTCCCCTACAAGATCAACTCTTACTTCAGCCATTGATGGGCAGCTCTCCTGTTGGCTGTTTTTCCCTAAATGCACCGATTCTCTCATGCCTGAGCCCACAGACCCCACTGAAATCAGAGGTTCATAGAACCTCATTTACAAATCCCTGACCCCCAGTGATCCCACCACTAAACATGCTCAACACGTGCCATGAACTTCTTCAAAACAGAGTGGTGGACAACAGTGGGCCACGAGCAATCTGGTCTAATAAAAGATGTCCCTGCCTAGAGCAGGGGAGTTGAACTAGATGATCTTTGAAGGTCCCTTCTAACCCAAACTGTTCTATGATTTCTGTTCCCAGACCACTAACCCCAGCCCAGTAGTCAGGGGCTCCAGACCAAAGAGATGTCTTTCAACTCTCCCTTCACTGTCTGAGTACAACCACACTGGTCACACAGTCAAACTGTCCCCCCAGCCAACACTTTTTGATTGAACCTGGATGTGGTGGCTCTGAAAGACATTGCTAAATTTGAGTCTGATAGTCTGGGGTGCAATGACAGGATCATGGTGTAGCTGAACCAGGTGGAGATGATGCTCAGGGAAGAGTTGCATGAATTTTCCCAAAACACCTCAAGATGAGTAGGGTTTGCACAGCCAAACCAGTAACATCAGCTGGGGGCTGAAGGCAGGACACCTGCCATCTCCTGTGACAGCCAGAAGTTTCCCATCTCACTGCCAAATGCAGAAAAACAGTCACCTGAGGCAGATTTATTTTTTTGCAGTTTCATCTCAGAGGAGAACAGGAACATTTTGTTTCCTCTGGGCATGTCTTGGCCCACAGAGCTGTGTGGCCTTGTAATTAATAACCTCCCTGGTGACAAGGCACCGAGTGGTGTATCCCCAGCTTTGCACTTTCCACTTCTCCTTCTGCAAACACTGATGGCTGCAGCACAGGAAACCTGCCTGCCAGGCATCACCAGCACTTGCTGCTCTCAGAGGAGAGGAAAGGTTCACCCTACTGACATGACCTGACTCACCTCCATCTATCTCCACCCCATATGACCAGCTCAGCCCTGGAGACTCCTGTTCCCTCTCCAGGAACAGCCTGAGGATGGGACACACTCCCCACCACCCTGCCGAGGTGATTGCCCATGAGGCAGCTCAGCTCCCAAAGACACATCAGACCCAGGTCTCCTTGGTCAACAACTAAGAGCCATGCTGGCTTTGTAGCTTTCACAAGGCATCCCCCAGCCCTTTGGAAAGCAGGATGAACTCTTTCATGGTGACCTCTGCACTATCCCGCTGGCATGGGCAGCGTTATTGCAACAGAACACAAAGGAAGAAAAGCTCTTGCTGCTCTCAGCTATCTCTAAATATAGTCATTTTGCAATGACTTCATTTTTCCCTCAGCCACTAACTTCAGCTTTAAGAGATAAAATGTCCTAGGGATGTTTAACCCTCCCAGCAATGCCCATCCGGAGAACAGAAACATCTACTTCTCCCTCTGTGGGAGTGCATCGCCTTGGCTTGGGATGTCCCCTGCAGCAGCTTTTCACCCATGGGCTGCAGGAAGGAAAGGGGGTCCCAGAGCAGAACCACCAGCCACTGGCACCGAGGTCCAGCACCAGAGCCTTCATTGGGCTGAGGTTTGCTGGAAGAACAGTGATGACAGTGGAAGAACAGTGGAAGAACAGTGATGGCTGGAAGAACAAGGTGCTCTGGGGTCACTCCCACCACCTCTGAGTGGTTAAATCTTTCCTCACTAGCACTCAGTCCAATGGGCCCTGAGGTCACCTGCACCATGAGGTTCACTCACCTGTGTGGAGCCCAGTCCTTTCCCATTGCTGGAACGGAGGACGAAGCCCTTTTCGCAGGTGATGGTGCAGGCCATGTGCCTCGGGCCATCAGAGGTGCAGTTGAGGGTGGCAGTGTGAGCAAGCAGTGGCCGTGTACAGCTTCCTGATCCCACACAGGCACCGTAGACACAGCTATGGAGGAGAAGAGGAAAGAGATCAGCAAGTGGGTCTCAGGGCTTCTGCATCAAGGAAGGGCTCTGTCTGTGTGGTAACTGTGTGGGATGCTCAGCAGGTCACAGATACCTGCAAAGATGAACATCTATCCCTCAGCCCCAGCTTCTTCCAGGCTTGAAGTCTCCTGATGATGATGCCAGGAGGGTACTTTTTCCCAGCTCTGCCTTGGCCAGAGCTTGGCCCAACCCCAGCCCACACCTTCCCACAGACCATTGCATCCTTCCAAGATGGTGAAAGAAGACATGGCTCAACAACACTCCTTCCAAAATCTGTGCTGTCTGGTGGGGCTACTTCAGCTCCTCTACCCCAGGTTGCACAGGCTGGATTGCAGAGAGCCTCATTCTGCCTGGCACCAAGGGGGCTGGGGGTGTGTGGTATAGGTGGACCAAGAGAACAAGAAGAAGGAGGTGATGGGGAGAGGGCAGGCAAACAGCACAAGCCTGTGTACGTTGACGCTGGGCTTTTTGGGATCAAGACTACCTCAACATGTACCTGTCCGACTCTAGAGACTCAGCTGGGGCCACCAAGCTGAGATGCAGCTCAAAGGAGGAATTACCCTCCCCTGAGCAGCACCTCAAGTTACAAGAGGTCCCAGGAAAGCTTGCAATGTGTCACCCATCTCTAGGAAATAAACAGCAACCCCCTCATCACAGCAGCTTCTCACCAAGGACCAGTCATTAGGCACCAATTAATTAACCATCACAGATAATCCCATAGTGAAGAGGAGAGCTGACCAGGGGACTATGGTTTCCATCAGTGAAACACAGCCAGCAGGTTAATTACCAGGGATGGAAAGGGGCCAAGATACAGGACTGACACAACAGCTCCCACAAGACCATGTTCTGGTTGTCTGGCAGTCAGGCTTTGTCTTACTAAGTGGGATCAGCACAAAACCCAACAGCAGCCCTCCTGAAGCTGCTGCAGCTTCAGGTGATCACCGTGGGGAGAAGGAAGAGGGGTGCACCTTTGCACGGGGCTGCCGGTAGTTTCTTGCACACTGTGCTTCACCCAGGAGAGGCAGAGCTCAACCTCTCCAGCCAAGGATGCACAGCTAGAAATCCCACAAAAGACACAACAAAATTTTTTAAACAAGAAAAAAAAAATAAAAATCAGTGCCGACATGGACATTCAGGGAACACAATGTGCTGTTGACTCTGGACAAGTCCACCGAGCCAAAGACATGGTGGAAACCTGCAGGCCACAGCCCTGAAAGAGCCGGTGGGCACTGGAGGGGACCACAAAGGAGAACAAGAAGAAAGGGGCTGTTTTTTCAATGCAGACCTGTTTATGAAGTGAGAAATGGTTTCAGGGCAGCTGCTGCAAATTCTTTCACTAGCTTATATTTCCATTTGCTTCCTTTTTAAAGAATTTGTTTTATGAGCACAGCGTTTGTCAGGTCATTAGCTTCTGAGGGCATCTGGTACCAATTGTAGCCCTCTCCTCTCCCCTCCCCTCCTGCAGCCACCTTCTCCAAGCCATTGCTTTGCTCCCCTGCCTATGCCCCTGGCGCACACACGCGCTCTCCCATCCCCAACTCCACCTCCCCACGAAGGAGCCACCATCCTAAACCTCCTCATGTGCATGTCTCTGCACACACATGAACTGAACTTCTCTTTCCAGCCTTGCTCTTGCTTCCCATCCCCTTCCTCACCGGTCACAAACACACAAGGAGCTGCAGTTGGTGCACAGTGTCCCTCCTACTAGGGTGCTTGATGCTGCATCAACACAGGGCAGCAAGAAAGTCCTTATGCCCAGGCACCTCAAGGCATGTGGAGATTGTCCAGCCAAGTCACAACCTACACATTGGGAAGCAACGTTGCCTAAAGAAGGGCAACAAAGCTGGTGAAGGTTCTGGAGCATAAGTCTGATGAGGTGCAGCTGAGGGAACTGGGGTTGTTTAACCTGGAGAAAAGGAGGCTGAGAAGAGACCTTTCCACTCTCTACCTGAAAGGAGGTGGGTGCCACTCTCTTCTCCCAAGCAACAAGCAATACAGCAAGAGGAAATGGCCTCAAGCTGCACCATGGGAGGTTTAGATTGGACATTAGGGAAAATTTCTTCACCCAAAGGGTTGTCAAGCATTGAAACAGGCTGCCCAGGGAAGTGATTATGTCACTGTCCCTGAAGATATTTAAAAGATGAGTAGATGTGGTGCTTACAGACATGGTTTGGTTGGGGGCTTGTCAGTGTTAGGTTTATGGTTGGACTCAAGGATCTTAAAGGTCTTTTCCAGCTAAAATGATTCTATGATTCTGTAAGCAGGGTGAGGAGATGAGTGATGGGTTCACCAAGCAGCTGTAGACTGCAGGGAAGCTGGGTGGCCATACAGGGACCTCAAGACATTCAACTTCATCTGCTCATGAAGTTACATTATGGAGTGTGCACTCATTGCAGCGCTGGTTCAGAGAGTGTGGTGGCACCACTGGACACATCCAGCCAGGTGAAGCGCTTGGTTGGAGCAGCTCTGCTGGTGATGGTGGAGCAACAGCACATTGTCTGGGCCAGCCTTGGCAGCTGGGACAACGCTCTTATTAAATACCAAGTAACAAAACACCGATCCTTTTCAGCACTTCTGGGCATATTTTGGTTTTCCACCAGTTTGGAAATATAACTGGCATTGCTGGTATAAAGTAGATGGAGAGATCAGCAAGTCTCTTACTGGATTATCATATACACAAAACGTTATAGAGATTATATATATAATAGAATTATATATAATAGATATAAGATTATACACATAATCTATATACATATATAGAGATTATATGTATAATATTATATATTATACATAAGGGATTGATAATTATATGTCATAGTATCAAAATCTTTCTTTTTATATGCACCACACACACTCTCAGACACATTTTATATGAGCATATAGGTATATTTTAGTAATAATTAGCTTTTTCTTTGCCTCAAAGGATGCTGAACCTATCACCATTCTGTCTGTGACTAACAACGCCTGTATCTCACAAATACCCAC